ATCCCTGTGAACTCAACAACGCGCAACCATGGCTTTGCAGACCGGCGTCGCCACCTCTAAAGTCCTCATTCTCGTCGGTGCAGGTGTCGTCTCTCTTTCTATATGTATCTATGTTGTATTTGATCTTTGTTTTAAGACAGAAAATTATTTTACTTCATTGGGTTATCAGATTGATCTTAATTGATATACTAACTAGATTGTTATATATGCGATGTCATTTTTTGATAGTTTTACTTGTGTTGATTTCTTTAATTTTATGAGCTACTTATAATATGTACCTGTGTTTGTCTAATTATTTCTTATATTTTTCGAATCTGTTGAAGTTCGAGAAATTGAGGATCAAAGCAATTCATAGGGTCTATTTGCAGCCTTACATAGAAAGGAAGAGTAACACTAAAAAGGCAAAGCAATTCATTTTATTTTATTATTACTTTTTTTTTTTTTAAAGAAATGAGAACAAGACCAGATGAGTATGCCGGCAAAATTTTAGAAGTTTTTAAAAGGATTGCTTGGTTGACCGCTTGTTTTTCTTTATTTAGTTGTTCCTTTCAAGTGTTTTCATTTTGAATTTCTATTTAGTTGAATGTATAGGAAATTGATAACTTATAAAAATGGTTAAAAGATGTTCTTAGATTCAATGGACGATTTGTGCATATGTTTTTGGCAACTGTACATGGGCTGGATGTTGAAGTTTTAAGTGGATAGTGGTTTAATCCAGATTTTTATTTTCATTGTTGGTTTGCGTTGATGCCCTTGATCACTTGGAGGAAATATTGTTACTATGATATATAATTTTGAGCTAAAAGGCTGAAAAGTCACCGTTGCCTATAATGATATACCTTGCTATAAGGCTACCCATACCTGGGGCTTTAGTGTATATTCGTGTTAATTTGAAAATTCCAACTCATAGGTGCCATAATGGCTGTTAGTACGGAGAGATTCAGGTCTGACTAGTTAGGTGTCATATGTGGCTTGTTTCTAGCTGTCCAAATTTGTTTATCTGGAGTAGTCAACATTTTCCCGTTGAAAAAAAAAAAGAAAAAAAGAACTGCAACCAAGCACATTCAGACTGGTGACCATGAGTTTCATAAATTGTTTGAAAATTCACAAAATCGATTTTTGGTTGTCAACAGGTGTAACTGGATCAGTTATCTTGAGGAGTGGGCACTTATCTGATTTGATTTCTCAGCTTCAGGAGTTGATGAAAAACATAAATGATGCTGAAACATCTCCGGGAAAATATGATGCTTCTCTTCTAGCGGCTCAGGTATGACTATCACCTTCTATGTTCTTTACTTGTACAGTTGTTTTATTGTTATGAGGCAAGAAGATAAGCCTGAAGGATGATATTGTTGTGTCTTTCAAGTCTATCTATACTATTTCACACATATCCTTGAATAGATTTTCTCACAATAGATTGAATAACTAGAACACGAATAGAATGCCTTAGTGATATTAAAGTGACTGGACTATTGGTTACTAACGACAATGACAAACTAGGTGTTTTTTTCTAATAAATTTAGGCTCAAATGTGAGTCCTTTGCCACTTCATTTGGCTCATTGTAGAAGATCCAAATAAACTAGATCCACTGCAATTACTCTGTCCATGGTAGTTTTGGTCTAACCATCTCTCTTTAAACTTGTTCAGCTGAGATCACCTCACCTTTAATGTGGACCATATTAGGTTTATGCATAACATGCCCAAACACTTAAGTGTTCATTCCGTCAATTTATCTGTGGTTGACGACACTTTCATGTTGCAATATATTCTCATTCCTTATCTTATACATATTAGAATGACCATGTCTATATAATCATCGTCATTTCCATTATGATCATACTACGTTACAACTGTGTTTCTATAAGAAAATTAAAGGAAGATGTAGGATCATTCGAGGCTTAACCTCCATAGCTAGGTTTTCGAAGGACATAAACCTCGATGACAAACAATATTTTTGAAATCACACTAAACTATTGTTTAAGCTTTTAGGTATCTTTGTGTCGCGCAAAACTCTATTTTATCCATCTTGCACTAATCCTTTGCATTACGTCCTCTTAAATTCCTGTACCGCTGTTTATAATTGAACCTAAATACCTAAAAAATATTTTGAGACCACGCTATAATCCCATTGTTATCCTTATACCTACTACTACTGAAGTGGCAAAGGAAACTTTTTGGGTGAGTATAAATTTGCTTTACGTCCTCTTCAGTTCCTCGTTTCTCAGTGAAGTCTTCTTTGATCCTCTCTTGCATTGCAGAGATTTTTCCATGGAGACTGAAGTACCTTTGGATCCCACGTTGGATTATGGTTTACCACTTCTTAAGTCTATAAATATATGTGTTAGACTGAAACATTATAAGGAGATGGAAGAGGAGGACAAGATCATATTAATATACCTTTGATATTAGAACCTCTCAGTTCTTTTGAAAACCTCTCTTAGAAGAATTTGATGTAATCTTTACCATTAAAAGATGCAGTATTACAAGAAAAAATGTACTTTACTTCTACTTTTAATTGCAGAGATCACATCATAATTATGAACTTCCAAATATCCTTATTCTACTAGGGTGAGGACCTAAAAGTTTAGGAAGCACAATAACTGAGAACCTCCAAGTTGAACAAGTTAATTAACTAATTTATTCTTGGGGGGATTTTAAGTGTTTTTGATAAATTAAATATTGACCCTGTAACCAAAAAAATCAATTACTTACAACTACTGCTATGTTTTATATTCTCTCACCAAATTGTTCGGCAAACATTTAGATTGAGTCTGGATTACTTACATTTATGCACAGGAAGCTAAAGAAGAAAAAAGGAGTTTGAAACATGAGAAAAATATTTGTGTGTCGTGTAGGAATAAATAGAAGCACATACTTAAATGAAGAAAAAAATGTTTTTAGGCATTTACATATTGACATTCAATCATGAGTATTGCTTTCCTCATCATTTATATGTTCTAAAGGAGACAACTTTAATCTGGAATCAAGTTTAGTAGGCTTCATTATGAAACATGTGAATTCATTACTACTTCACCTTTCCTCATCATTGGCCTTGCCTTCAGGTTCGCCAATTGGCTAGAGAAATCAAGGAGTTAAGCATGTCAAATCCTATTACCATTTTTAATGGAAATTCATCTTCCAACGGTATGCAATCAGATTCGTTTGGAAATTTTGTGGCTTAATTTTTGTTCTAAGGAAACCCCCATCACTGATACGCACAAGTGCTTGTGTGGAGTTCACAACTGTTTCTAACTTTTCGATACATTAAATTATAATTGATGAGAGCTGCGGGATCATTGTCAAAGGCCACCTTTAGCTGCATAGTGAGTTGAAACTTGAAAGAAATTGTTAATCCACATACAAAACAAAAAGCTTTCTTTATAAAGTACTTCTGTTTACAGTCACATATTCCTGTAGTTTGGCTTGTTTGCTAGATAGTAAGCAGCAATTGACATCCTGATACTTTCATGATTGACGCACCTTTGTGCTTGTTATACATTTCCAGCTTCAACTTTATTTGAGTCCTTTTATGACGGCACAGATGCTTACACTTTCTTTGGTCTGGACAGGGAATTACGGTTCTTACATATTACCTGCTGCAGCTCTTGGAGCAATGGGATATTGTTACATGTGGTGGAAGGTGAGTTAAATATTGACATTTAAGCCATTGAATCATCAATTTTGGAAATTGTTGTAAAATCGTCCATCCATAATAGATTATCAAAGGGTTGGTTTTTAGATACATACTAGTTTGCTCTTTCACCGTCTCAGTTAAGAAAAGTTTCTAAATAGTTTGTATCTGATGGAAACTTTCTTACTATGAAGTTTATTCCTCAAGTAATCAAACTAGTTTATGTATCGCAAGCTGTTCATTTGATGTTAAACTAAGGGTGGAGGTGGTTGTTATTTTATACCAAAAATCCACACATGATTTTTTGCTTATAAAATTTCAGCTCTTTTACTGTCTTCGTTGAGAAATGTTTCTAAATTGTTGTATTTGATGGGAACTTTCTTACTATGAAGTTCTTACCTCAAAATAATTGAACTAATTTATGCATCTCAATCTGTCCATTTGACACTCACCCGTGGCTGGTGGTGGTGGTTAGTATACCACAAAATGTCTACACATGATTCTTTGCTTTTGAATGTTCTTGAGTTTTGACTTGTCTCTTTACCAAGTTCACTTTATGTCAAAATGGAGATTACTAATCACTCTGTGGTTGATTTATTTTTCTTTATCTTTTTCCTGTTATTGTTTCTTGAAAATAACTCATATTTTGCTTCCCCCCTCCCCTCTGCAGGGCTGGTCATTTTCTGATGTAATGTTTGTTACTAAGCACAACATGGCAAATGCTGTTGCATCTGTTTCAAAGCAGTTAGAGCATGTTTCTGACGCTTTGTCTGTAAGTAAACTACTATAAATAAGTTTTGATGATTTTACGGTCACCTTACATTTTAATCAAATGTATCGTGTACTTATTTCACTTTACCTGCAGTCAACAAAGAGGCATTTGACAAAGAGACTGGAAAACTTGGATTGGAAGGTGGATGAGCAGATGCAAACATCAAAGCTTATTGTAAATGACGTATGACACATCTTTGCCATGATAATTTTTACTTTCAATTACACATGCTACAGCTGCTTTTCAGATCGTATGGTTCGTACATTAATGGCTTCTTCAGATTCAATGATTAACTTATGCTTTGATGCAATAAAAAAATATCACGTTCATATTTAATAGTGAAGAAATCATTAAGATGCTTTGAGCATTGAGTATAATGATGGAAACATCTTAAGAGTTTTCGTTGATACCTCCTCCCTGAACCAACAAGGAAAAAACTGAAGAATATTTGAAAAGAAACACTACAGGAAAAACAAGGAGAAAAAGAGGTAAATGTGGAAAAAGTATCATTAGGTGCACTGCATCAATTGAACCTCAAAACATTTTACAAGCTTTGTGCACGACGTGATTTTAATCTTCACATCCCATTACTTCTCAAATATTGGGCACATTTCTTTGAAGTGAAAGCAGATCACAAGTCTTGACAATTCAAAAGATTCATGAACTTTGTCTCTGTCGTCTGTTAGATGACTTTTATGCATAAGAATGAAACTGAGTGTGAGCACGGATTGAGTTACAAACCTATGATGCTCATCTGTGTTCATATGCTCGCTGAACTTTGGGGTTTCTCAGCGAGGAAGTTCAATTGATGAAAATAACAGTTACTACGCAACTTGCATCAAAGCAAATGTATTATCTTTGATACTTACTGTTACTAATATTATGCAGGTAAGCGAAGTGAGATCTAATCTTAATCAGATTGGGTGTGACATTAATTTAATCCATGAGATGGTATCTGGCTTGGTAAGCTATCACAGTGCTTTAAATTCAATTGATTTGGTGAATAGTATTGCCGTATGAGTTATACTTCTTCATGGATCTCTTTATTGCTGATTAATTTCCAGGAAGGAAAAATTGAGCTTCTTGAAAGCAAGCAGGTAAAGATTTGATCTTTTTCAAGTATATACAATCTCTTATTCACTTGATGTACTGAAAGTATCTGCGACTGTTGATAAATGATCTGCAGGATAAGACTAACTCGGGTTTGTATTATCTCTGCCAAGTCGCCGAAAATATTAAAGGTGGATCAAACGACAAAAAAATCAAGGTCAGAAATCCTTCTATAATTTTTCCTTATTTGTTATTTCTCTAACTTGTATCATTCACCTTTGCGGAACTGCTATCAAAACAGTACAATAGTTTTGCCACATTGAGTCATATTATTTAGATTTTGCTTGGCCATTCCCTCTATGTATTGTATAGTCAAGAATACAATATACCAAATAAAAATCTCCCTCTGAAGTGTTAGGATTTGACTGAGGATTGTCCTATACAGAATAGGGATTACATTTTTACTCAACTCACATAGAAAACGATTTAACTTTCATACTTTTAATGGGTTTAACATGATTCCCACATCGAATAGAAATCAAAAGTATCTCCTTTTTGTTTCCCAATATATAGAGGCTTTCCCTTGTGATCCTTTGTAGTCTCGCCTTTTTGCCTGGTACGTACTATGAGGTGGTTTTCGACTTTTCGTAGTATGTTAGCTCGTGTGTATTTGCGGTCTGGGGTGTGAGATATGTGTGGTTATAACAACTTTTCACGTGGATAAATCTGTCTTTTGTGGCCTGTGGTTTTTCTTTGGTTTTGGAGTGTTTCGCATATCTTGTGTTCTTTTTATTGTTTGTATTCTCTGTTTGCTGTTTCTCTGTTTTTCTTTATATTTTCTCGAGGGAGGATCCCTGAGGTGAATCTGGAAATTAGCCCAGATTCCCAACAAGAAGGATGTGGGAGATATATTACAAACCTTAAATAGAAGGAGATTGATTCTAACCTTGGTCTTAATTCTAATAGAAAGTTTGCTGAAGATAGACTAGAGGGCTGCTTAAAGTTTTAGTCTGAAAACATTAGTTTGATTACACTAGCAAATCTCAGAATATCGTAGAGCAACCGATAATCTGGAATATCACCTAGGATTGGTAGAAATCTGATTCTTTATTCATTTTGATGGATCAACTTAGATACGTGCATCCTGTTAATGCCCATGTCGAGCCTTCTGGTTTTTGACTCTATAATCTTAGTGTTGAACCTACTTTGTGCATGGTTGGTTTTATCTTGATTAGAAGTTCTTGGTTGGCTGTGTAAGTCTTTCCTCTAAGCATATTTATATTTTCCCATTCCCATTAATTATTAAGACAAATGCCTTTTTACCCACTTTGAAAGCAGGGTGTCGATGCTAAGCTACTAGACCATTCAAGAGTTTTGCCGGCTGAAGACAGAACAAAGGTAAGCTGTGTTGAAAATGGTTTGATTAGTGGATGTTTTGCAGTTTCCCCAGCTGACAACGTGCACGGGTGTATAACTTTCCAGGGGCTTCAGTTCATTGTCGGAAATGATGAATCAAATAAGATGCAAAAAACAACGGTAAATATGGATGAACAGAAACTTGCTGATGTTCCTGCCAAAAATGTTTCTACTACAAAAATGAGAATTCATCGATCATATCCAGTTGGGCTGTCTTTTGCCGCGGATGTCTATGGATTGGCTTCATAATTTTACAATGCCTTTCTAACGAAGAGATTTGACCCAAATATTATTGCTATCCGATTATTGGGTGTGGAAATTTGCAAAATAAGGGTTGTTTGAGCTTTACAAGACTTGACCAATGTGCATCCCCTGTCGAAAATCCTTGTGCTCATTTTTTTGATGTAATATGTATAAATTGTATTCTTCAAGACTTTCATATGAATTAAGGAAGGTTATATTGCGTTATTATTTCTTATAATAGCAAGATTGACACATTTTGTAAACTTCAGCCATTGTTGGGATGTGAAAATACATTAGGGTGTTTGATGGGCTTTATCTTTCATTAAAAATATAGGGTCTGTTCTCTTTACTGTTTTCAGACCATTTTTAGTTTTCAGTTTTCGAAAAAATTGAAAACTCGCTCACTTATCTATTTTCATAAACGAGTTTAAAATTTATAAAGAAAACGGAAAACGCCAAAAAAGTCGTTTTGGCTAATTCAGTTAAAATTAAGCGAAAACTTCATTTTCTTATTTTTGAAAATAATTTTTCAAAATGACGAAAAGAACGGGTTTTCAGCAATCTCAAAGTAGACACTTAAAAGACAAAATCCAAAATGAATTCAAAACAAAAAATTAAAAATTGAAACACAAAGAAAACAATTTTCATTTTTTCATTCAAGTTTCTACTTGTGAGTTGTGAGGTTTTGAGTGACTTTTTCATGAAAAATATTTTTCAAAAGTTGGTCACGCGACCATGTTTTCCTCAAAAATATTGGAGGAGTAGATTTTTATTTTCTAGGTAATTCACGCTTCCAAAAACTCAACTTCATGGAAAAGTTCAACATTTTCTTAAATTGAAAACTGAGTCAGTTATATAGATTTAATTGGCAATTATATATTTTTTATTTTATTATTATTATTTTTTAAAATTTTTTTCCATGCAAGTTGTATGCTTGTAATCAAATACATCCTAGAAGAATAAGATAAAAGAATTGAGAGAGTTAAAATTGAAATGTATTTTTGAGAATCATTGTTCCATATTTATATGAAATAATGACTAAATGGATACAATAATCCTTCAATAGTTAGAGCATCTCCAAGAGACTGTTTATTTTTAAAGAGTATATTCTATTATTTGTAGAGTATCTATAAATTTAAAGAGTTAAAATTTTGAAATACTCCAACAAGCTTTTTTATATTTAACACTTAATTTTACAACTCTCAAAAAATATTTTTAATTTTCTTTATCTTTTATTTTAACTAACTTTTTTTTAAGATTAATTTATTATTTTCCTACATTGAAAATTGAAACACTTCCAATACATTTAATTATAGAGAGTGAGTTTGGCTCTCCAAATTTGGAGAATCAAACTCACTCTCCAAATTAAAATGTTAATTTAAATAATCTCTTGAAGCATGATTTCAAATACTAACTCTTTAAAATAAAGATAATTTCATATTTAAAAAGTCTCTTAAAGATGCTCTTAGTATTTAGCTCCAATTTGATAGAGATTAAAATCAAATTTTAGCGAATTTTGATAAAAGTTGATTGAATGTATGTTTGAAAAGTTATGAATTTTATAAAATATGTGATTAAAATTAACTGTTAATTTTAATTTAATTTTAATCAGATTTTTATAGCGGTAATGGACTTAATTTACAACCATGTCTTCTTTAATTAGTTAACATTCTGATTGATACTTATTTTGTCAAAATCAAAATATTATTCAAGCTGACTATTTGTGCATCTTTGATTTTTATTTATATTAGGTTTTGCATGTCCTTTTTAATTAGTTAACATTTTGATAGATAATTATCTTGTCACAGGCCAACTATTATCCTAGCTGACTATTTGAACTCCTTTGATTTTTGATTTTATATATTTTTTTAAATTAGGTTTCACCACCTGACATAAATATACTTCGTACAGCGGTGCACATTATCTGATTTTTCTCACGATTTTCATCGGAAAATAATTTGCAAATTCGAAAGCAAACCAAATTTCAGACATGGGAATCGTTGGAAACCTCGATCACGATCAACTTCAGTTCTTCAACTCTCAAGGTAGTATAAAAAGTATAAAGTAATAGGTGTAAATAATGGTGATTTTTTATTTTTAAATTTGCTTTTCAATGGATCAGGGTATTTAGTGTTGGAATCATTCGCAAGCCCTGAAGATATAGATTCATTGAGGAAAAGAATGGATCGGTTACTCGATGAATTTGATTGTTCTGAGAGTTCTTCAATTTTTTCAACCAAGAACCAAGTAAAGATCCTACCTTTTTTCGGTTTTTTGTATTGTTTGTAAACATCTGATATTTACTCTTCTTTTGGTAGCCTTAATATCCTACCTTTTTTTTTTAAAGTTGAATTATTGCGGGAATAAGATAGAACTTTAAGGTTCTATTAATTTTTACTTACTCCTTTTGTTCTGGGATCAGCAACAATCCACTGATGAATACTTCTTTGAGAGTGCTGAGAAGATTTCTTTTTTCTTTGAAGGTACTAATTTATGATGAAATTTTAAAATTATAATAATTTTTGTGTGCTATCAAGATTGATGAAGTTTGTTTATGGGTGATGCTTGCAACTGGATAGAAGGTGCTGAAGAATTCTTGTTTAGTTATTTGGTTGTGATGGGAAATAAAATAAAGTGAAAATTTATGTATATGTGATAAAGAATGTGATTTTTGTATATAGAATATTTTGTTATATTTTTCTTGATTTTCAAATGTGTATTGAGGGAACCTGGAATTGAAATCGGGTTTGGTCCATTTGCTGTTTTATGACTATGTTTATAGTTCAAGATATTGTAGTTCTTGTTGGTGGATGCAGGTAGGTTTTACTTTATTTGTCCATGTCTGTAATGTGGTCTTGGTCCTTTTTTTACCTGACTTAATGGGATAAGCACATGTATTTCTCTTGGAGCCTTTCTTTGTATACTTCACTTTTTAATTATGCATGGATTTTTATTTTCAACAGAGAAAGCATTTGATGAAGATGGTAACTTAAAGCAACCAAAGGAACTCTCAATTAACAAAGTTGGGCATGGTATGATGAACTACGTCCATTTATAAATTGAATTTCAACCCCTCATCGACAACTTGAATTTTCAGTTTGCTTTCTTTTCTTATGTTTTTTGATTCAGAGTAATCCTGTACAAATTGAATGTGCTATATTCAAAGTTAGTGCTATTTTCTTATTGTGATATCGCATTCATGTATTATTTTGCAGATTTGCACGGCATCGATCCAGTGTTTAAGAAGTTCTCAAGCTCAGAGAAAGTGTCAGGCTTATTATGCTCTTTGGGATACAGAAGGCCGGTGATTATACAGTCCATGTACATTTTTAAGGTACTTCCATTTCATGATGAAGTGTGTGAAGTTTACAATACAAATGTTCTTAACCATATTCTGATCCTGAAACATGCCATTATATTCTGATAACTGGAAATCAAAACTAGTTTTTGAAGTTGTTGCGTATTAGATTATCTATTCGAAGCCCATTGTCTTTATTAGGAAGACAGCCCCTAGGCGTCCAAGTTCGTCCTCAAAACTTTCATAATTATTCAAGTCTAAGATGCACTGACACTCTCCAAAAAATACACGTCCGTGTTGTGGACAGGATTTGACACTGATATTCTTCAAACACTCTTGTACAAATTACTAACACTCCTTTGACTCTGTTTACAAAATAGAAACAGAAGTCCAAATTTAGATATAATTTTTTGCAACTCTAGAACAATATCGAACATCTGCAACCCTCAATTATGCAATATAGAAGAAGAGTTGCTATTAATTTTCTTCAACTCAATGCTATTATTGTACAATTCTATGTGCATAATAGTATTGCATTTGTACTGAGATGCTTAGGATTTATGTTGATGTATTGGAGTTTATCAACCTTGGAAGTGAGTATTTAGAGTTCATTGTCCTCTTTGTGATAGAATACAAAATCTTCTTGTTGATGTTGTCTTGCAGTAGGACGAATCATAAACAAGTAATATAATGAGAAGAGTGTCGAATTCTTGGGGACTGATTATTTACTTATTTTGCTTTAATTAAAAAAAGCTTTAATCAAGAAAATGCAGAATTAATTTACTTGATTTTGGTTTTAACTATATCTACTAAAATAAGCAATTAAAAATAAGCAAACAGATTATTTGGTCTTGGTTTTAATTATATCTACTAAAATAAGCAGTTAAATTAAGCAAACAGATTCTTGAAATAATCAAATTACAAAAGGCACTAGGATCACGAAATCATCATTGTTAACTTACTTTAATCCTCAATTATCTTTTTATAATCAATTCTTGCCTAGCGTGAAAAACAATTATCCAATTATAATTAATAGTCTCTCTCGACGTCAATCAATTTTTACTCATAATGATAATTCACAAAAATCATCAAATAACGATTTCATAGAACATAATGATATCTCTATCTATTACCGGACACTAGGTTGTTTATTAATATACGATAATTTATATCGAAAAACAATATAAAATCACACACATGTTCTAATGGTGACCAATCATCAAAATGGAGCAGGAACGAAAAGAGCAATTAATTAGTCAAAGAGTTGACAAGGTTTCATCTTTTGTGGCTATTTAGTCCATCATGTTTTGATCACAAAAAAATAAAAATAAATAAATAATAATAATAATAATAAATCGAACACATAACCCGGTAAATTTAGAATAAAAGTTGATACACCCCTTCTTGAATTTCTTCAACAATCTCGGAAGGCACCTTCTTCTTCAAAATCTTGTAATTTTCCCCCAAGAATTATTGTAGAATGATATGTGATGTTAATAGGAGGTATTATTTTCTCCAAAATTCCTCCTTTTGAAGTACAAAATTTGTTGTATAAATAGGTCTCAATTTAGAGTGAAAATTTTGTGTTTCACTTGACCTAGAAGTTCTCAAGATGTCCTAAGATAATTAGAAATCGGCTCGTTGAGTCAAGAATTCTCAAGCATCAAAATCTGGTGCTTGAGCAGCTGAATGCATGAAATTTTCCCCAAGTCTGTTGCTAGGGCATCAAAATGTGGTGCTTGAGCATCAATGCTTGTTTCTTCATTTTTCCACATTTCTCTCCTTCCTTACTTCCCGACATTCGTGCAATTCCATCATTTTGTTAAATTAAGCTCCAAATATCTGCATTTTGCTTTATTTGCCCTTCATTTTATGGCGTGTCAGATTTGATGACAATATTTTATTTAAGTGCTCATATTTCATATATCAGTCTCTACATGAAGTTAATGTATATGAATTTCATTTCCAGCAACCTGGAATTGGTGGTGAAGTGGTACCACACCAGGACAATTCATTTCTATACACTGATCCACCAACTTGCACGGGGCTGTGGCTAGCTCTAGAAGATGCTACAATTATAAACGGATGCCTCTGGGCTATCCCTGGATCCCACAAAGGTATCAGCGTCTCATATTTTGGTTGTTTCCCTTCCCTCTTGAGCCTTGAAACTTTTTAAATAGGGTGTTGATTTTCTTCTTTTGTCATTATAGATGGCCTTGTGAGAAGATTCATTAGAGATGAGAATGGGGTTCAATTTGATAAGCCGTCCCCAACCTATGATCAAAAGGATTTTATTCCTATTGAAGTCAAAGCTGGCTCCTTGGTAGTCATTAATGGGGATCTTATTCATCAAAGGTCAGTTGACTGAATTTGGAGCATGTTTGGTTAAGCTTAAAAAAAAAATTGAAGTTACTCTAAGATAACTTGCTTTTTTTACTTTGAAGTAATAAAGTTGAATAAACTTTAAGCTTAGCCACCGATGCTTTTTCTTTAATGCTTTACATTTAGTTATGTCTGATGTACTTAACATGATGCGCATTGTTTTCTTCTGCAGTTTTGAGAACATTTCCTCAAAATCACGGCATGCTTACAGTTTGCATGTGGTGGATACTGATGGTTGTAAATGGACTGAGGATAATTGGTGAGTGACGATTATCAATGATGACTGTAATATGCTCTAAGACGAAGAAAAATTGATTATACAATCATTGTCACCATAATCTCATTTAACTGATAAATTAGGTTAAACTCCAATCTATCGATGTATCTATGTTGCCAATACTTTTGATGCTAAATTTATACTATTTTTTATATAATGCGAGGTCATAGTTACTATTACTAGCTTAGCAAAATGGCTTATATTCTCCCTAGTATAACCAAATATGCCAACAATTTATTGTTTGACATCACAGCGCTTGAGAATAGTCGTCAACCGGAGTATGTTTTGTTTAGTTTCGGATGATAATATCTAGAACTTAGTATCAGTAATCATTTTATTCAATTTCATAGACAAGGCAATTTCCCTTAGTTTCGATTTCCAGAAAGAAACGCATGCAAAGCTTCCATTATTTGTAGCTCGATGCTTTCAATGTTTTCAGTTTACGACTGCCTGGATCGAGTTACTGACCATGTTTTTCTATTTCTAACTTCTTTCAGGATTCGAAGAAAGGTAGATCCGGAGCCCCTTTACATGCATTGATTTTAATCTATGATCAGAAGTTACGTTGGCTACTCCTATCCAGAGTATATCTGTACTGTACATTAGAAACTTGCTTTTGCATAATAATGTGGAGAGAGTAAGCTTCCAGGGAACAAGTCAAATAAGAATGGAAAAACATATTTTTTTTATTTCAATATATACTTTCAAATTCTAATTGTTCCTTGGGACAACTGGACAGTCAACCTAAGACCTCGAGGGAGGAGTAGATTTGAGTAGGGAAAAAAATGAAAAATACATAAGTAGAGCCGTAGAGGCTAGTTACTGACTTATTTGTTGTCTTGTTGGGGCGAGAAAATCTAGGATCAGAACCAGCAATGTTTCATGGACCAACTGAATCGCCTTGTCTTAGAATCTATCTAGATCTAGTTGTAGTAATTTGCTATTGTGATCAAGTATTACAATTGCTCGTTGATTTTTCAAACTAAGTGAAAGTCGAAGNTTGCTCGTTGATTTTTCAAACTAAGTGAAAGTCGAAGCCTAAATGGAGAGTGTAAGCTCGATTAAGTCCTAATCAAATGACTTTATAAGCCCGATCACCATGTGCTTGCTAGCTCACTTGAAAGACCTTGACTCAAGCCAAGGCACCGTTGTATCTAAAAATAACGAAAAGAAGTGAAGCTATACTCAGCAACTCACTGAAGTATGCTAGCTCGTATGGAAGAGACTTGTGTTCAGCAACATGGTGAAGGCTTATTCCACCTATCTCACAACTAAGGAATGGTTTTGCAAGATGGTTATCTTTTATGTATCCTTGTCCAGTCTAACGTGATACATTATATGTTATTTAAATTTACCTCAAGGTTATTGTCATGGTGTAAACCGGGTTGTGTCAGGCAAACAAAGCCCAGTTTTGAGGCAGCCAATGCCAAACCCTACGATTCATCGGCATGGCTCGAATCTACTTTATTTATAAGTTATTGTTTTTTTGAGTTAAAAATGAAGGAATTTTAAGGTTTTTTCACAAAGAAAAGAGAGAGTTAGGCAATGGTAGCAGTAAAATATCCGTCAGTACTTCATAATCTTTAATATACATAAACATAATATAAATTAAGGAAAGCCCACAAACATCTTCCGGTCTAGTAAATACACTACTAAATGACAAAAACCTCCATGCTCAATTTTTCGGAGGAAGAAACTCAAAGAATTTATTTGGAGTGATTTTCATGCTTGTAAAATCAGTGTCCTCTTTAATAGAATTAAGGGTAATTCTCTGGTCATTTCTCCAAATTGGAAAGAGCTCAAGAGTTGAATTTTCTTCATTTCCCATATCATCATTCTTGAGGGGCAGTGATATGCTGAGGTTCAGGCCAAGAAAATGCTGTGTATTTTCTTGATCTGAATGTTTCAATGGACAGATTTCATTATTTTCAGCTCTCTGCTGCAATTCTCTCTGTATACACCTGTCTGTTCCATATTCTGCTACAGCTGCTCTATGCATTGATACAGAATCCTGAAATTTTTTACAATTAATAAAAAGCTGAGAAAACTTTTACACACTGATCAAGAAATTCTATTTCCATCATATAAAACGTTCTCTCTTTCTTTAATCTGCATTTTAGCCTTTGACCTTTGTATCACATAATGAGCTAATAATGTAATTGTTAAACAAGTCAAAAGTCTGGTGTTACGTAATATATAAAAAGGTGGTACGTATTTTTTTGGAATGCTATGCATATACTGACCTCTGAAATTGTGGTGCATTTTGAGGGGCTAGGCAACTTTTTAGGATGTTTAGTTTCCATGTCTCTCCTGCTCAAATCTGCTAACAAAATCACAATTGCAGCAAATTAGTTTGCTTTATATATGAAACAATATTGTATAAACTCAAAAATCTTTCTTCCTAGAAAAACACGGATAGAATGACATATGGTAACTCCCTCGTGAGGGTGTAAGGTGGGCCAGCCTCATGCCCGAACCTAGCACGGCTGGTGTTTTATACTATTCAATAGCAGAGCCCGCACTCGGCGAGCCATGGTGGCCGCCAGTGCAGGCTCCGCCAGAATTTTTTTTTACCATATATTGGGTTGCCGTCGAACGTCCATCATAGCTCAAATAAATTCCTGGATCCGCCACTGATACCACTAATGGCAAGCCTCATGGCCATACTCAACTCACAGAACCAGCTCTCAGCGAGAGACCTTTTTTATTTAAATTTTCAAAAATAGAACAGAAGTAACAGGAGACAACCATTCGTGTGAGTAGGATTCTCGTCCTTGACCATTCACGGCGTAGAATTCTTGGTGCACTAGACCGTGCCATGGACTAATCGTGTCCTGACTCAGTCTACTTGACTCTAATCCCTCGGGATAACAAAGTTGTGTTGTAATGAGAAGAAGGTAAGTATACCTGCATGTTCACTTTCAGGGTTTTCAAAGACATCGCACTTCCTTTTTCTAGATGATGATGCCTCTTGTTCACGACGTTTTTTCTGCCTCTCTCTTGCTTTGTGGTTTTGAAACCAATAAAACACATTTTTCCCTTCAATTTTACCAAATCGACGAAGCTTTTCAGCAATTTGCTGGATTTGTTGAGCTGATGGACTTCTTACTCCTCGTCTATACATTTCCTGAAGGGCCTGTAATTGATCTGCTGTTGGATTCCACCTAGAACTCATGACTAAAGGTTGTGCATTTCTGAATTGGTGATCTTCATTCACACTAGCTACAAGAAAAAATATTTGAAAGATCAGTTCAAAGATAGCAAAAAGTAAAGCAAAATAATGTGGCTACTTCACACAACTTGACAGTATAACGAACAAGATTTTGGTTTCTTTTCTTCATTAATATTATCCAAATATACTATCCAAATCCAATCGTCCCTAATAAAAATGACTTGTGATTATGGAAGGTATTAAGCTGGCATACTTCGGTGGTGGTTCTGTTCAAAGATATTAGTTGTGTGAATGCAACAGCAACTAGGAGTTGGCATTGCAGAAAGTGCCGTACTGCTGCCAGAGTTGATCGTCGGCTTCGGCATTAGAGGCCGAAGTTTCCGATCATACGAGTGATCACTAAAATGTACCATCCACATTGCCTCTGCGTGTGGGGATGGGGATTCTTTTTGAGAGTATTTGAAGGGATTCTATGCTCAAGAACCGAGTTTATAATGAGTTTATAGAGATAGAAATGGTATGGATATTGCATGCAAAGTATTGAATGGAGCTAAAGAGACGTAGAATTTCTGAGTTTGAGACAGAGACTTAACAAGGAGACAAGAAAGACGATTGACCATGGTATATATACATCTTCTTTGTCATTCACAAACCTAGAGAGGGGTGGGGTGGGGGACAAAGGCTAATTAGCTATACAATGAGGAATTGAATTGAAATGAGAGGCGCGAAATTCTGGTAGATTTTGGGAGGCGGAAATGAAAGTGACTGGACAATGACGAGATTGTGAGAATTTAGTGCCATTTAGGGGTGAAATAAAAAGCAGTCAACTAGTCAAATGAAATCGAAATAGTTATTTCTCGCCCCCTCCATCCCATAAAGATAGACTTGATTTCTTTTTTAGTCGTCTCAAATTATAGATCACTTTCTTTATTGAAAATATAGTCAATTTCTTACTTTTCTAATATACCCATTTTTAATATGTCTTCTTATCAACAAATAAAAAACATTTTGTAAGGATATATTAGGAAAAATATAAAGAAATTTTATATTTTCAACTATATTAAGGGCATGTTTGGGTTAGATTTTAATCTAAATCAAAGTCAAACAATCAATATCAACTATATCTTTCATGGGTCCCACATCTTTTCAACCACACATTTCAAAAACTTCTATCACAATCCACTTAAAATTTGATTTTAATCTACACCAAACACCCTCCAATTATATTTTCTTAATATAATGAAAACAAGTCCATTTTTATGTAACGAAGGGAGTAAAACCATTGTTTTGGTTCACGTGATTTAGGTTTCAACCGTTTCAAATCAAACCAGACCATTTAAAAATGATCATAAATGTTACGACAACTTATTCGATGTCGAAAGGTCGAGAAATATGATCTCGTAACATAAAGCCAGCAAAAGTCTTGACGAACCACCATCATAACTATATCTTGATTGCTCAACTAACATCAACTATTTCTTATATTTCCAAACTCCCACAATTTAGTTCTTTGTCTCCAAGAACTTGAAGAATTCAATCCCATTATTGAAGAACTTGAAAAATTCAATCCCATTATTGAAGCATTATTGACTAATTATTTCTCTCTCAAGAATTGTTGTCCAATTATTTGCCCTCGTGCAACTGATTATGTTTCTTATCTAACTTCCAACAATTATTTTCACTCAATTTCCCAATAATTATTAAGTCATTTGTTGAAAAAGAATTATTTGTGATATACATTATTTTCAAGTCAGCTCCACTCGTGGGCACATTGCCTTGTTTTCAATTCGTCCTTTGTCCTTCTCATTATGGTTTTAAATGATTTATTTACTTACAAAAGAACTTTTACTTTATAGTAGGTATTGGAGTTGAACTTTCAACAAAAAGGTATATCGAAGTTGAAAATTATGCATAGAAAGAGTTTTTTTTTTTTTTAAACTTCGAGAGGCTGAACAGTTGGATACATTTGTGGTGTTCAAATCGCTTATACCCTTTTGGGCACCATAGCAAATAATAGTTTAGGAAACAATTGCGACTCCAAAATGGCTTATTTGCTAATGTGAACGGATCTTTTTTTTTTTTTTTCTTTCTTTTTTTTATATAGAATTTTAACATATAACTAGAGACGGAGGTGTCAGGATGGAAGGGCCGGCCGACTCGGAAAAATTGGTTCGGATCGACCCGAGACAGCGGGCCAATCCATGACCTCAGCGGGCGGTTCACGGGTCAAGGAGGTGTGACCCTCGGGTTTCGCAGGTTGCACCTTCACGGGCCGCGGTTGACCCGCTGGCCCGTGAAAAAAAAAATTAAATTTGAAATATATAATTGTTGAACAAATATATAAAAGTAAATAATTGATATGGGGATATACAAATATTGAAATATATAANGATAGTGGGGTGGGTATATATGTTATTTTAATTTTATAAAATCATTATTAATTAAAATTATAAAAACCTGATAATTGAATAAAAAACTTAAAAATCTGAATTTTTAAAATGTAAAAGAAAAGACATTGTTTGGTGTAATTTTCTCAAAATCTCGTCATTGAGAAAGCCATATTGGGCCCCGTGTTTGAGATTGTAATGGAGGATCAGGCCAGCCAATTTTTTCTGCTTTTATTCATCTGGCCCAATAAAAGGAGATTATCGGGTCGATCAAGAACCCAGAGGCCACAGCCCATGTGTTATTGCCTGTAGTTGAGGCGATAGAGGAAGTGATTGTGAAGGAATAGGAGTGACTTCTTCAAATACTGTACTGAACTGCTTTTGTACTTTATTTTGATTTTGTGTCTAGTCATATTTATTTTGGTAGATGCTCAACCCCGTACGTTAGAATATGTAAATAGAATTAGCCTGCTCTACCATGCCTGTAAAAGTCTTGATAGAGCAAAAACTCTCACATGAGGTGGGTTCTCGGGACCCACCTCATTAAAAAATACCCTCCAAATGTTTAAACACCCACCCTCCACATCTCACATTTGCACTGCCAGGCCTTTTACAGGCCTGGCAGTGAAGCACGATTCATGTAAATATTCGAACCAATTAATAGATGAAAATTCCTTGTGTTCGATTTCTTTAATTTTATTAAATATTTTGTTCTAAGGGTAATTAACACATAACATCTCTATCTTACACTGTTATTGTGAAAAATTTTCATATCTTTTATTTTTTGGCGTTTTCACCTTTATTTCCACATTTCATTGCTCAAAAATCATTTACATTCATTTTCTCAATTAAAATTTATGAAATGATGAATATACCACTCTTTTTAAATAAATTAAAAAAAAACTAATAATTGAAATCATAATCCCAATTTTTTTTAAAACGTAAATGAGTTCCAAATAAATTATTAAAATGGTAATTAGCACATAATGTCCCTACAATTCACTATTATTGCAAAAAAAGTCTATACCTTTTATTTTTTGACGTTTTCACTCTTAATTACCCATTTGATTACGCAAACCATTATTTCTATCCATTTCATCCAATTTCTCAATAAATAGCCGTGAAATGACGAATATACCCTCATATTTAAATAAAAAACCTAAACAATTAATTGCAACCATAGTCCTAATTTTTAAAAAAAATACAAACGAGTCCCCAATAAATTATTAATTTTTTTTTTAAAAGTTCAAACGAGTCACAATTAAATTTATTTAAAAATAAAAAATTAAAAAGTGCAAACGAGTCCAAATAAATTATTAAAGAATTAGAAATTAAAAAGAAATTATTATTTTTATTTAAATAGGAGGGTATATTCATTATTTCACATTTCTTTATTGAGAAATTAGATGAAAATGATGGTTTCACAATCAAATTTGTAATTAAGGGTGAAAATGAAAAAAAAAAACTAAAAAAGATAGGAACGTTTTTCGCAATAACTGTGAAAGGTAGGGATGTTATGTACTAATTACCTTTTTAATAATTTATTTGGGACTTATTTGCATTTTTAAAAAAAATTGGGATTATGATTGCAATTAATTTTTTTCTTTTTTCTTTTGTTTTATTTGAAAAGAAAGGTATATTTGCCATTTCACCATTTTTAATTGAGAAAATAAATGAAAATGACCTTTTGTATAATGAAATGTGAAAATAATGGTGAAAATGTAAAAAAAATGAAAGGTATGAACGTTTTCCATAATAACAATGAAAGGTGGGGACGTTATGTGCTAATTACCCGTTTATTATCTATTGTAAAAATTTGATTCTTGTAACACTGTTGGGGAGAATTGCAGCCACGTTATCAAATCTTTCACTTAGTAACATACTTGTTTCAAACCTTTCATTTGTACCACCCATGGTACCAAATCTTTCAAAGAATTAGCACTTGAAGTCCAAATGGATGTAATCCATTTGACAGCTGTTTGACCCAGATAGTAAACTTTCAATTACTTAGACTAATTTTTAAAAGGGTAATTTTGACTCATTTTTAAAAGAGATTTTTTGTATTTTCTCAAAAACACAATTATAATAATTAAATAAAAAAAACTAAAAACTAAACAAAACCCCAACCACCCACCCCTAGCTCTTTCTTCCCCAACCCCATTTAACCCTCTTATTCCAAAACCACCCTACCCAGTGACAGCGACAGGCCGCCAACGCCGTTACCACCACCAACCCTTAACACTAGCATCGAAACCGCCACCCAAAAGGCTTCCCATGGAACTATATTCAACATGTAATTTTTCTATTTCATGCTCTACTCATACTCACACATTATATTATTCAACAAATTCTTTATATTACTCTCCAATCGCTTGGTTTTCCCCTTAACCACCTCACCCTATCAATCCACCCGCAGAGCATCAAACATTGACACAACATTCCTTTCCAATTCCAAATGCACATCCATCTCACACATCTGAGTCAACTAGTTCTATAACACCTCCATCTCAGAGTTAGACCAAGTCACTTCCGATTCCAGAGACCCCTTCGATTGCATAGGTGAGTCCACCTGTTGATATGCTATGCCTTGGTTTCTTGTATTTTTTCTTATTTTTTGTGGCAAATGAGAGGATGGAAGGTACGAGGTTTATGGTTTTTTTTTATGGCTAAGGTAAATGGGAAATGCACCCCTCAAATGGGGGCGGTAGTTAGAGAGAATAAATGGAAGCAAACGTTTAGGGTTTTTTTTTTTAAATTCAAATTTAGGGAGATTGATATTGGTTGACTGGGTGTTGACGATGGAAGAATTTTCCAACCGTTGACGAAAAGGGTGATTGTTGGCAGGGGCGGGCCTGAGGGGCAGGTGCCCTCTCCCCAAAAAAAAAATTTGAAATTTTTTTCTTTTTTAAAATATGAAAGGAAAATGAACCAACATTCATTTCAAACCAATATTTTCTCTTGCCTGAGTCGCCTCTTCTCCTTTTCTCTCCTCTTCTTTATGGTAAAATTAAGGTTGTATATTATTAAATGGATACAAGAATGGTTGTGATAATACTGAATAACTGAACAAGAATAATTCAAAACTTTAAATCTCATTTATCTTTGTTTAAATGATTTACAGTTACTCTCAGAGAGTGGAAATTGCATTGCCAAATGAAAGCAGTTAAAAAGATGTCTCCACTCTATAGCCATTTCAAGTTCAATCGCGATAAAGAATTCTAAGATCTAACCCAAGGAAAAAGCTAGTGCGTAAGGCTTCCGTGAGCTATAGTGCTGAAACCGGTACTAAACGAAGTAATCAGTGTAAAATGATCGTATACATGGATTAGATCGATGAATAGGAACGGAAGAATTCTTAGTTGAATTTAGTTACGTTCTTGCAATGAATGAGATTCTTGAGTGAAAGTCTCATTTGAAGTGACATTTTTAAGGAAATTTCGAGAGCTTTTTAGCCTAAGAGAATCTGGTCCGACTGAATATAATCAGAAGAAAGAGTTATGTAATATGATTGAACTTGAATGAGCAAGGATTTATTCTCGGGTATTTAATGCATCGAAAATAAGTATGGCTCTTACCATTTCCTAGTCCCTTGTTGATTTACTTGTTGCATCTGTTAAATAAGTTTCAGAATTTAAGAAATGTACATATAAATCTGTGACTTGGATTCTATCAAAGTTTGTGTAGCTCTTGATGACCAAGATTGTATACTCAATTTCTTTGTTGATTTGAATTACGAACTATATTAAATTTTTCTCTATTTCTCACTTTAATTATGAAACGTTATCAAAATATGAGAACACGTAGAGAACAATTATAATAAAATATGATGAGGTGGAAGTTCAAAAGCAAAGGAAGAAGTCATAGGTGTCGACGGTGATGCCAGAGTTCTGTGGCGGTGGATGACTTTTAGAGAGGGTGGGAAAGGAGACCACCCTTATTTTTATTTTCTTCCTTTTTATTTAATTATAATAAGGGAAAATTGAACCACTGGTACCAAATCTTTCATTAAGCCCCTGTTTGGTATATATTAAAATTTTCATTCTCATTCTTCTACTCATTTTCAACCACACATTTTTCAATAAAATAATATTTTCCATCACATCAATAACTTTTCCTTCTTTTTCAACCACAAATTCTCCATAATCTACTATTACAGAATACATTCTTTCAAAATAATATGGTCAAACACACCATAAGTAGCAGATTTTGTCCAAAACATTTCAATTGTACCACCCACGATACCAAACCTTTCAAAATGTTGCAGTTGGAGTTCAAGTGGATGATAATTGTTAGTTTGATCATTAGTTGATCAAAAGTCAAATGTTTGACCAAATGTTGACTAATTTTAAAATGGTAAAAATGAATTTTATATTTTACATATAAAATAACTAAAACAAAAGAATTAAGTAAAAAAAAAGAAGAAAACAGTGTTCATCATCTTCCTACATCCCCACGCCCTACCCACCCCAAAACCAAAAATCAAAAACCACCAAAACCCCAATGCCGCCATTATCCTCTTCGCCTCCACCGTCTACCTCTTGCCAAAACCCCAAATTTACCACTTGGAACACAACCACCCAATTTCTTGTCGGCGTCAACACGAACTCCATCATTTCTGTCGTTCTTAAACTCTTCCACTTTCTTCCTAGTAAGTTTCCTTGGTGGTGGTGGCGGTGGCTGTGGAGGCGAAGGACGGGATGGGGTTTGCCCTCTTCGAACACCCAAAAACTTAAAGCTTTGACGTGAGGAATTACGGGCCCCATCCTCAGTCGATATAGGCGAAAATGGAGTATATGCCCTCGACTCCCAAGGTAGAGGCGGTGTAACACTCAAGAATTTTTTTAAGATAAAAATTTTATTGTTTTATGTGGTAGCTTGAAGTTGAGGGACTAAAATGAAATAGAATTTCTTTTCTTATTTTATTCGAGCCAAATAATTAGTTTTTGATAGGGCATAGATTAGTATATTAATATTGGACTCTTTTAGTAGGTTTTAATTAATTAGAAGTCTTTGACTTGAGAAAATGTTGATTTGGGTAGGTTAAGTCCAAGTTACTGTAGTTCAAAGAAGTTATCATTAATTGGTAATTAATTAAGTTGGTTAATGATTTAGTGGCAGCCTACTACAGGATAAGTTGTAATCATAGTTTGATAAATATCTAATCCTTAATTGTAATCCTACATTGATTTGGATAAAGTTTAATGGTAATCCTAATTTGCTTAAAACTACTTTTCATTCTTTCAATTCTTTTATTCATTTTCCAATTCAATGAAATCTGTTAACATATTGGTCCACGTGTGTGTCCTATGTAGCCTATAACTCCAATTGATAATGATTTAATAGTTAAACTTTACCTACTGAAACATATTCAGTCCAATTTTAATGGAACACGGCTCTTCTATTTCAATTGTTTCAAAAGTCAATTATTTTCAACTTTAAATACCATGCAAGAGGTCCATCATGATAGAAAATTGAAAAGGAATAATCAAACTACGTACTTTATTCAAATCCTTTT